CAAGTTTAATCCATCCATTGGCTTATGGTTGCCAAGGAGGGTTGTGAATTACATAGCCTTGTTATCTGGCATGAGTGGGGAATGGGGGGTGCTGGGTATCTAAATATTCCGGTTACCTGAGGGTGGTGGTTTTTGGCTGGACACAGAGTGGGGGATGGTGGTGGAAGGAGAGTTGATGGGGGTGACACGGAATGGTGGCAGTGCAGGGTGGACGTTTTGGCCGGATGTGAAGTGGTGGTAGCACAGGGTGGTGGGTGGCAGTGGCAGCTGCTGCATGCAAGCTTTCCCCCCAATCCCCTGTGTCCAGCTGGCTGGAAATTCCGGTTAATACACTATAGCACCACAAATGAAAGGGACGTGGGGGTAATAATAGACCACAGTATGAATATAAGATGGCACTGTGATGCTGTAGCCAGTAGGGCAAATAATACTCTGGCATGTATCAATTGATGCATCTCCAGCAAAGCCAAGGAGGTGATTCTTCTGCTCTGCTTAGCACTAGTGAGACTGCAGCTGGAGTACTGCATCCAGTTCTGGGCACCAGACTTCAACTATGACATGGACAAGCTTGAGAGAGCCCAAAGAACAGCCACTCGTATGATTGGTTTTAAACAGCAAGCCATATGAGGAAAGGCTGAGTGATCTGGGACTCTCAGATTCTTCAGTCTGAGGAAAAGAAGGCTGAGAGGGGATCTGGTAGCAGCTTACCACAACACTATGGAGTACATCCAGGGCTCGGTGAGCAGCTGTTTACCAGGGCACCCGAGGGGAAAATCAAGAGTAATGGCCACAAACTCCTGAAAGATTGATTTAGGCTCAACATTAGGAAAAACTTCTTCACAGTCAGGGTGCCCAGATTGTGGAATAAGCTCCCTCCAGAGGTGGTGCAATCACCTAACCTGGCAATCTTGAAGAGGAGACTAGACAGTCACCTTGCTGGGGTGACCTGACCCCAGTTATCTTTCCTGCTTGGTGCAGGGGGCTGGACCTAATGATCTTCCAAGGTCCCTTCTGGCATTACAATCTATGAATCTATTCCGGCTAGTAGAATGCCGGATAACAGGACTTTTACTGTACTAGTTTTTGAAATTTTATCTATGAATTGCAGATGTAAGTTTTTTAAATGCCACGTAGATGCATACATTTTCCTGAATAAGACTAAAAAATTCTTGCACCCAACTCTTTTTACACTATATTATACCATAAGATTGAATAAGTAACACGATCACATTTCTGGAGTTTTACCTCAGTGCTCCAAGCTTTTATTTGCTTGTCATAAGCAAAAAAACTTACAGTTCGTGCTCAGTACCATCTGTTGTTAACAACAGCAGCCACACGCTTATCTTGACTAAGATTTCTCTGTGCCCTTCCACTACTCTTCAATCATACCCTCAATCCTGGCTAATTTGACTGCCAGCAGTAGGTGATTGCAGTTATGTCTACTAGTATTAAGTGATCACACAGCTTTTTATGGTAATTTATTAATAAGATCTTAGTCAAGCAAAGGTTGGACAAGGTTCAAACCAGCATGTTTAAAGAGAAAACCCAAACAGACCCAGGAAAAAATCTTTTTTTAATGGTGTTTCCTCCCCTCCCCCCCATTATATTAAAGGTTTAAGGGCTGCTGTTAGCATAGTGTATGAAGAGAACTACTTTGAAATTACAGTGTTCAGGTTCCAACTTCTGATTTTTATTTTTTTAGAAAACTGATTATGGCTAATGAGCATATGCAAACTTGAACCAAAGCAGAGACCTGATTTGTATACCCCATCATAAATAACCTTATGTCTATTCAGGTTCAATTATTTTAAGTTGTGATGAAAATTCCTAAGGTATGAGATAAGTGTCAGAGGTCATTTTTAAAAGTCTTAAACTTCAAAAATATTCCTTTCTGTGGATAATTCACATTAAGATGTTTAACATTTTAATGTAATTAGGCTTGTTGTATGCAATTAAAGAACAGGGTGGATGCATTGGTTAGTTTATAATTCATCAATAGGAAAGTCTGCAGAAAGATCAATATGTTGTATTAATTATATGTGTAGGTAATTGCATTTTGGGGCTTGATTCTTCACCGCTGAAGTCAGTGAAAATGTAGCTGGATCATGACTTCATGAGCCTGAATTCATGAAAGTTAGATCATATCCTAGCAGATTACAAAACATTACATTTGAATCCCAATGAACCAAACGGATGTAAGTTTTTATATTTAGTTATTTCAGAATAGGGAGGAAGTGGAAAATGAACATAAATTCCCCAAATCAGTAACCTTAGCAAAAACAATTAAATGTATTTTCGAGTTCAAGGAAAATGACAGTCCTATATATGCATTATTGGGCGAAGTGTAATTGAACATTTACCCCCACTTACAAAATAAATGACGTAGAAAATTATCTCAGTTCCACTTTTTCAAATAGTTTATATTTATGAATTTATAAGGGAAAGTAAATTGTAGAATAAAAGATAACGGTGCATTACCAGTACAATGCAACACAGAGGCAGACTGGTATCTGCAGGGAATAGTTAGCATAGGTTAACACAGTAGTTCTTTAAAAATATAATACGAGGATAAAATATTGTCATTAGAGGATTTTTGTATGCATACAAAGAGCAAGTAATAAACTGCCATAGAAGAATAAAACTGCTTAATGAGCTAGTAAAAGTCAGAAGGGAAACGTCAATCGAACCATTCCCAGGTGAGCTAAAATAATCTTCCAAAAAGCTGTTTTATACAATTTTGATCTATATTTATTAATATATGATGCTGTGTGATGTCAGTGATCCAGAAGAATATCAAAGATGTTTTGTGTGGGCGTTAATTTGTAAGCCCAGCATGAGGTAGAATGTTTCATAGATTTCTAATATTTCCATGTTAATTTTAAAGATGAAGAATTAGAATTGTTTTTATTAAAGTTAACAATGATAAAAGTGACTGACAAGTTAGTAATAATAGTCTTTTTCTGAACCAGTTTCATCTGGAAGACAGATTCAAGGCCACGGTGAAATATCCTGTGACAAATTACCCAGGGTGATGATACAAGATAGTGTGAGATACCAGCTGTACCCAGTCCTAAATGGTGTCCAAACTACAGATGGGTATTTAAAACAAAAAGAAAGATTGAGTAAGAGAAAATAAGTTAGCTGTTTTTTTAAAGATAAGTCCAAACTTCCTTACAGATTTCAGAGGTATTGGGGAGATCAACAGCAATGTGATATTGCAATTCGCTGTTTATAAACGCATTTAGCTTGTTTTCACCCAGCATTGCCATTAAAAAAAAAAGATGCATTTTTGAGATGACAGTAAATGTTAATTTGGGTTAACTTCCATATATTAATGCTTGATCATTAGATACAGTGCCGAATCTGTATAAGTTGATTTTTAGATTAGTACTGTGTTGAAAGAAAAATGTTGAAAGAACTGTATTTAAAGTCAGATATATGGTCAGCAATTAAATATTTTTAAACAGTGTTTAAAAATGAAGATAATTGAATTCATTTCAAATTTAATATCAATACAAAGTTTCTGTCATAGTGCATATATAAGAGATTACTGCTGTGTTTTCATCATAATATTATGACCCATATCTTTAGTTGCATTGAAACTAACTAAATGGATTACTAATGATAATAATGATATTTGGTAAAAATGGGGCTGTCATATGATACTTTTTTACTAGGTATAGAGATCTGAGTTGTTTGACATTTAGGGACTAGTGTAGACTTTATTTAAACATAAACATATACGTATTTTTGTATTTCTGTTAACTATGCCGTCCTGAGACCCATTTCCATGTGTTTTGGTAATGAAAGGTTCATAAGCTTAAATCTGATTTCAGAACCCTAAATTAAATTCTTTGGGAATTAAATAACAACTGAATAAAATGTAATGGGAAACAGGGAATATCACATTTATAGTCAAATCCAGTGAAACTGTTTTTGAGTTATGAAATATGAAGTACTGTTCCCAGATAGCTAAAGCCTACTGTTTTTCAAGATGAAACAGGCAGGCCAGGAGTGTAGCAATAGTATTTGTGCAAAAAAATAGCACAGTAAAAAAAAAAAAATTGGAATTATATCATTGTTGCTGGAGTATGTATATTGATACCTGTGTATTAGAAATAACATGATTGGCAAAGAGAGAGTGGAATATAACTGGATATATTACTCAGTATTCTTCTGGTGGAAGAACTGTTTCAATCTTAATATGAATTAAAACACTTATGAAATAAATATACATATCCCTGTATCAGAGAACGAATCCTTTATCTACTATGTGCAGTGTCAATATATTAATTGGTTTATATTAGGCAACACTTCTGACACTTGAATCTTTTGTAAGTATGCTTACAGAGTAACAATAAATGTTTTTAATGTGCAATAATGCTTCAGTTAATAGAGTATTCTGGTACAAATTTACTTTTATTGCTGTCAGGTTAACAATGTTACCAAAGGCTAGATTTCTAAAAAATATGATTAATTATAAAGAAGAGTACTACAGATCCCTCTACTGTGCTCAAATGGAGTGTTTTGATTTGTAGTGCAAGACCTATTGGCTCTGCTTTTATTACTTTTATGCATGAATATGTCATTACTACCGATTGTAAATATTTCTCTAAAGTGTACTTCAACAGTCTAGAAGACGTCTATATTTCGGATAGCTTCACATTTAATTTATAATATCTTACTGAAGCCAAGGTCTGTTTACCATGTTTTCTGTATCTATGCTAAAAAAACCTTTAAGAAACTCAGATTATTCATTTTACTTTGTATGCCTACATATTCTACAGTGGATGCAAAGAGAAATTATATCAATAAAATAAACAGATTAAGAAACATATTGCCAAGAAGGGGAAACTGACAAACTAGAATGTAGATTTAGAAATGCTGCTTCCATTTTTAGCTCTTCTACCATATTTAATTATATAGAGAAAAATATGCACAAACTGTCATGTGTCACATATGAATGTTTTTGTTAATTTTTTTAAACTAATGCATTCTAGGCTGAAAACAGTAATAGAAGAACTGATTCAGACACAGCAGACACTTTTGAATAAAGAAGAGCAAGTCCTGGAATTAGAGAAGAAGCTAGAAGAATCTTCTAAGACCTGTGAAAAGAAGTCTGAGTAAGTATGACAGGTATCAAAAAGTAAAAATGTTTAAAGGAAAAAGTAATTATCGTAATGTGGTTCCAAAGAGCTAGCATATAAAATTTATGTAAAATAGATTTGCTTATATTTTTAGTAGGAAATTATTGGTATATTATACAGGCAGTCCTCGGCTTGAGACTATTAGAGTTACAATGAACCGCAGTTCCGATGTTTGTAAATTGACACCCGGGGGTTGAAGTTCCGACCCGGATTTCAACTTTACAATGCTGGATACTGGAGACAGGTTTGTTAGTGAAAGGGGAGGGGGAAGGGGAGGGCCACTGGGGCTCAGATCAGGGCCCCTGTGGTGAGGTGGGGGCTCGGGCAAATGCCGCCTAGCTGGGGCTGTGCTGTGTTCTGCAACCGGAGGCTGTGAGCAGCAGGAGAAGCCATCACTCATCAGGCTGCTTCCCTGTTTGCCCCTGCCAGGGAGAGGCAGGCAGAGCCAGGCGGCTGTGGGAGAAGCCACGGCTCATCTGGCTGCTCCCCAAGCTGCCCTCATGGGGGCGAGGCAGGCAGAGCTAGACAACCCGTGGGAGAGCCATAGCCGCCTGGCTCCCCCTGCCTTGCCCTGGTGGGGGCAGCTGGATGAGCCGTGGGAGAAGTCATGGCCACCTGGCTCTGCCTGCCTCTCCCTGGCAGGGCCAGCCAAGTGGCCACAGCTTCTCCTGCGCCTTGTCCAGCTGTTCCTCTGGCTGTCCCCACCAGGGAGAAGCAGGCAGAGCTGGGTGGATGTGAGAGAAGCTGCTGGTCTCTGGCTGCTCCCCCAGCTTGCTCTGCTGGGGTGAGGCAGGCAGAGCTGGATGAGCCTTGGAAGAAGCTGCGGCCCCCTGGCTCTGTTTGCCTTGCCCTGGCAGGACCAGCTGGGGGAGCAGCCAAGCGGCTGCGGCATCTCTCAAGGCTTGTCCAGCTGCTCCTCAGGCTGTCTCCGCTGGGGAGAAGCAGGCAGAGCCGGGCGACTGCAGAAGAAGCCACGGCTCATCTGGCAGCTCCTACCTCTTGTCATGGGGTGGGGAGCAACTTGTGACCCCGGATCTGATTGGGGTGAAGCGGGCTGTAGTCGAAGCAGACCTGGGGGCACACAGCACCGCCCCCTGCCCTTCTGGACACATGGCTGGAACAGCAGGGTGCTTCTCTTTGGGAGCCATTTGTGGGGCAGCTCCTTTAAGAAGCTTCTTGGACACTTTCTTTAGAAAAGCAGACAAGGTTCCAGAAAAACCTGAAGCCAAGACTCCTGAGAAGACTCCAGCCAAGAACCCTTCAAGAAGTTCAACCAGAAGCCCTTCAAAGAGTCCAGCAAAGTCACCTCAAATAAGTCCTTCCAAATAAATGTTTGCTATTTACAATATAGATAAGTACCATTAGCTTCCCATAATGCTGTGTTGGGATAGCTGGCCCATAAGCAGTATTGTTTGAACTCATTGAACAATGGATAAACCAGGAGATAAGTCCAGACTTGTGACTTAATATGGCTTCTGATTGCTGGAGACACTATTCCTTCATAGTGCATTAGGTAGTCCCTTGTTACTGGTTAAGAAAAAACTTTCAAAAATAATTTGTATTGAAGTGTTTGGTTTGTCCTTTCTTTCCTCAGCATTGTGCTTTTGCTGAGCCAGAAGCAAGCACTGGAAGAACTCAAACAAACAGTTCAGCAGTTAAGATGCACTGAGGCAAAATTTGCAGCACAGAAAGAGCTCTTGGAACAAAAGGTGCAAGAGAATGATGGGAAAGAGCCACCTCCCATAGTAAACTATGAAGAGGATGCCAGATCGGTCACTTCTATGGTATGCCCTATTCTTATTTCACTAGATAATGCAGTCTCCTTGCTGTTGCACTATACATCTTTAGGTCAGATGTTACTCTTCAGCAGAGGATACTCTACTGTAGAAAACTGAAACGGCTAATTGAGGGTATGGACAGGCATTCATTCCTACTTCTACAAAGTGTCTAAGCACCAAAATTTAGGGCTGTGGTAAGCTACAGATGTTTTTAAGTCCTATGGCTGGAAAGTCACAGTCACCTCAAGGACTAGCTCTCTTTCCAAGAGGAGATACAGGAATTCACCTTTGTTCCCCCTGCCTCCACAGAAGCCTGTTAGTGAGTCAGTGAGGCTGCCTATATGCTGGCATCAGCCCTTGTTGTGGTTACCATGTAGTCAATAAACAGTTACTGCTGCTGGCAGCCCCATCAGTTTTTGCCATCCCATGGCCTGAGTGGGATGCTGTTTGTCACTCTGTTGATTGCCTGCTCATTTCTCTACTTCTCTAGCATTTTCAGGGAATGCTAAAATACCTACTCTTTGAGCCTCACAGAATATCGTGTTAGAAGATAATAAGCAAGTTAGTGACTCTAAATACAATTTCTTGTCCTGCTGCAGTTACTGTCCATAAACCAGTGTTGGTGACTTGTGCAATTTTGTTTGCAAGTTACATGATTTCAGTTGGGGCTGCAGCTACCTTTGCAGTGATACAAGGGCTGGGTACAGACATTCAAATAGCCCAAGGCAGAATCAGTCTGTTATGCCATTTTCTGTAAGTGGCATAGTTTAGATTGGTAGCCAACACAACATGCATTCACCCTTTGGTGGGGTGGAGGTGGGGCAAATCTAAGACTGGTTCTACCATTTTCAAACCAGTCTGTATGCCAACCTTCTGTTTTTTTACAGGTATAGAATGGTTTTGTGTGTTAAACTTCTGTTCTTTTATTGACCAGTTTCTGATCACTTACACTGGTAAAAGCGTAAAGTCTGTACCTGGCCAAAATGTTCCACCCTCCCATGACTTCCACTTCTGCTTGGGGGAAACCCTCTTCTGACTGGGTGTTCTTCCCCACTTCTGTACCTGCAGGGCAACTGCAGGAGTCAGGGCAAATCTCTCTGTTCTTCCCCACGGAAGCTGACACTATTCTTTCATCAGGGAAGACCCTGTAAACATCACTGTTTTCTTCCCTGCTATCTCTGAGTAGTGGATAATGGTTTTCTCTGCTCCTTCCTCTAACCCCTGTCCTTTCCTTCAATACACAGCAAGTGAAGCAAGGAGGGAGAGGGGCAGAACTGTTAGAATCTGTTTCTTTCCCATACTAGAAAAAAAAGGAACCAGTTTCTGTTACCACCCAGATCTGACGGAGGAACTAAAGAACTTTTGGGACTGCCAGAAGAGCAGAAGTGAGATTGGAGGGGTTTGACTGATTTTGAAGATGGGAAGATTTCGCCTGTGCAGTGGTGAAAGCTCTGACAGCAGGGCTGAGAATTGTCTTAGTTTATACATTTGGTGGAGTTGGTGATATTTTACTGTTCCGCATATACGTACTGGGCCCCAAGGAAGCAAAAAAAAAAAAAAAATCTAGGCAGACATCAGAACAGAATGTAACCTTTTTAAAGGGTTAGAAAAATCCTTGAAATGTTGAGGACTGATTCTTGATTTTGAATCCTTGTATTGGGTAATACTCATAAGCACTGTGACAGGAAGTTATTGTTAGTTGGTGCTAAAGACCTGCAGCGGTTTGCATACCTCCAATGTGACTTTCCAGAACAATTTAATAAATTGTGCTTATTGCAGTGTATCTTCTGCTGAAGAGTAATAGTTTGTACTGCGTGCATGGTGTGCCTGGGCATCTATTGCTGCTGCTGGGGCAAACCTGGCTGCTAAGGGAGGAATTGTCCACAGCCGCTACAGGGTTATCAAAGCAGCCATAGGTTGTTGCTCCCTCATACTGCTGTTTCCCATGTTTATGCTGCTGGCAAGTGAAGAAATACAAAGGGGCTGAGTTCCATGGCTTCTTCAAGCTGCTGGGGGCAGTGGCTCCTTTTAAGTCAGCAGCAGTTTTTGTTGCAGGTATGTTTGCCTGAGGGAAAGTAACCCTGTGCATGCTGCACAGGAGAAGGTGCAGTGAGTATGCCTTCTGTTCATAGCCAACAGCTATGGAACCCTGCATACTCACTGTGTTGCCCCCTTTGCAGCATATGGAGAGTTACTTTCCCTTTTCCCAGTGGAGGCTGTTGCTGCAGAAGCTTCTCTTGGCTCAGCAGAAGTCTCTGACTCAGTAGCAGCTTGAGGATGTCTTGAGGCTTTACTGTATTTCCATGTGCACTTTGCTTTCCCCAGGTTCCAGCAGCTGATTTTCAGGGGGGAAAAAGGTGCACGGGGTATGCAAGAAAATACTGCATGTGGGAAGATGCATGTAAGGGTTTCTTTTGTTTTAATTTTAATTTTTTGGGTTTTTTTTTAATGTTTTACCCCAAATTTCTATTGTTCCACAGAAGGTGGCAACAGCACAAAAAAATTACATTAATATACTTTTTCTGTATGCTGTTGTTGTCTTAATCCACTTCCAGTACCAGATCTCTTCTTCCCTTCTATTATCCATTCATGCATCTGTCACTATTGTTTATTATTTGTAAGGCACCAGAAATCTGTATGACACTTTGGAGACCAAATAAAACATAATTGTCTATCCTAAGTAGCTTACATGTGAACTTGATGTAGCTTAGCGAGAAATGACCAGAAATAAAACAATACCAAAACATTGTACACCAACCAGAGATGAGGGAGACAAAAATAGAAGGACCAGGATACTATTAATGAAAAATGGGAGGGATTCTTTTTGAAATCATCAGTCTTCATAGTTCTTTTGTAATATAACAATATAGTAATTAAGTCTATTAAGAAAGTAGCTGAGGTGAGTGGTGGAAACTGTGTGGCGGAGAGACATCCTCCTTCCCTCCCTGGCTGGGTTACTAAAATTTATCTTCCAGTTAGAATATGTTTAAAGATGTTATTAAAATATCACCCCAAGCACTCAAATATCTGCTTTGAGTGCTTGGGGTAAATACTTTGTACGTACTACCCTATACATGTATGTTGAATGTCTCTGTTTGTTTATTTTTTTACGTAAAAGAGCAGAGATGTATTCTTCTGTGTCTGACGAAAAGCCCAGTGATTTTTAATGAAACTTAGTGGCTCTTGTCTAATGACTTGATTTAAATAACTTCTTGTTTGGAAACAGGGTATATATTTTGCATTTATTAAACTAATGTTTGTTTGCATGACATGTACTTTTCTTATTTCCATTTTGATTTTGGAGACACAGTTCTACATACATAGTATGAAAAATACATTGTTAAACACAAGAAATTGTTTCTCGTAGAATTACATTAATTTACCGCAGTTCCTAATTTCTAATTCAGCAAAGCATTTATTTATGTGTTTCAATTTCATTGCAATCAGTGGGGCTACAATGTGTTGATGTATTTTGCTGAATAGTGATGGCGTTTAAGCCATAAAGACTGTGCTAATAGAACTGCTAAAATGGGCGTTGGTAGAAAAGTTTGTCTGTTGTGATCCAACGTAATCTAAGATACTGTTACTACCCTGCATATTGAGAGGGCGAAATTTAGTCAATCGAGAAAGAGGAGGAAAGAGATTAGACAGAATGTTTATTTTAGATAAATAGACAAACTGTCATAATTATTTATAGGATTTCTGTGATGAAATGCCTTTAAATTATGTAGGTGTTGAATAATCAATAAAGGAACTTTCTCATGGTTGCAGGCCTTCCTGCCATTTTTAAATGGCTTGGCATATCATCTGTATTAATCGTTAAAGAGAATCATTATTTCTTTAATTATAAACCCATTTAGGTCTGTCATCCAGTTTAAAGCACATTGTTATCCCAGATGTTTTAAATTTAGCTATTTATGCCTTGTAAAATTAATTGTATGTACTTATTTTACAAGTTGTAAGAACAACCTCATTTTTATTGGCTTGCATTGTATGCAAGCATTTATCCTTGCATATAGAGTAACTTTCAGCATGATTTGAAAAATAGGAAAAATAGATGTGTTTCTTCATAAAACGATGTGCTTTTTATTTGAAATATCTTCACAGAGCCTCATTCTATAAGTCTATCAATCAGTTAAAAAATAGTGCAGAGTTTGTTTTTTCTGTCACTTGTAACATGAGATGAATATTTCATTAGCTATTAGTTAAAAGGTGGAATTTAGGAAATGTTTTTCTGGTACAGATTACGTTAATTATGCATCTCCCTGTAAATTTATAAATTTGTCTACATCTCTGTGGTTTTTTTGTGTTACAAGGTTCTCTTAATATGCCTTCATGTTTAATTGTTGCAAGTATCCTTACTTTTTGATGTTGTGAGCTGTACCAGCCTACTTTATTGCTTATAAAATATTCATTGTCTGTTTGTCTCCAGTGCAGGTGTTTTATAGAAAAATGAAATTGCTAGATAACTCTTATCATGTTCATTCAGGGTTTCATGGCAAGATAAAACTTGAATAGTATTTTTGAAATCCATTTTGTTCTTCCTAGGGTATAATGTAAGAATTTTTGTAGTTCATCTGTTTTTAGGAGTTAATTCCCAGAATTTTACTTTAAAATTAATTGAGGAAATTACAGATAGGGTTGCAATTGTAGCATTTTCCAATACTAAAATATTGATTCAAAAGTATTGCTTATAGGACAGTTGTACAGTTGGCAAACTGTATTTTTATAGCCACAAGATTTATAATGTGCATTCATTAATTTAAATAAAATCAAATTAATTAAATCAAAATCATTGGAAGGTAACAAGTATTATTTAAAGATGATTAGTGAAATGCAGGAGACCCTTGCCATTCGCAGGGAATAAGTTCTAGAGATCCCTACGAATGGGGAAATCCAGGAATACTATACTGTATCGATAACAGGCACCGTGAATATTTGAAACCACAAATCTGCGAATAGCGAGGGTTTCCTGTAGTATTTTTCTTTAAAAAAAATCCCTAATT